TGAAGTGATCTGCGTGTTGGACCTTGACGGACGAAAACATGCGAGGAAGATGACAGGTCTCTCGGTACGTAAAATGATCGGCTGGAACTTCCTTGCCAAAATGTAGCTTGAGGTGTCAATTTTCTGACATGAGCGTGAAGTCTGCTGATCAGGTTGGTCATATCTACTCCGGCATCAGTGACTGGTGTGATGAACTATCCAGGTAAATGGAGGGGTTCACTGTTGACAACTTCTGCAGCGGATGTCTGGATGTCCTCTTTCCATGCGCTGCGGATGCCAATAAGAACCCAGGGTATGGCTTCAACCCAGTTGGAGGATGCGTGGCAGGTGATGGCAGCTTTGAGTTGCCGGTGAAGCCTTTCCACGAACCCGTTAGCTGCTGGGTGATAGGATGTAGTAGCATGATGAGTGGTACTGATCATCGCAGCTAAGTCTTTGAAGGCTTGTGACGCGAACTTCCTGCCACGGTCCGTAGATATATGCTCTGGGCAGCCGAATCGGGAGATCCACCCAGATGTTAATGCTGTAGCGCAGGTCTCAGCTGTCATGTCCTGGAGAGGGTACGCCTCAGGCCAACGGGACAAGCGGTCGACGATCGTGAGGCAGTACCTGTGACCAGAACATAGAGGTAAGGGACCTATCAAGTCTGAATAAATATGTCGGAAGCGTGCAGAAAGGGGATTAAATTGCTGGAGAGGTGCTAAAGATATGTATCCTCGTCACCTTGCTACGTTGACATTGTTGGCATTCTTTTACCCATTGTCGACAGTCTCTCCTTATACTTGGCTAGATGTAGCGTTGAGTTAGCATTTTTGTAGTTGCCTTCGCTCCAGGGTGACTTAAATTGTGAAATGAGTCAAATACCTGTCTGCGGAACGAAGGTGTGATGAAGGGTCTCGGGCTGTAGGTGAAAGTGTCGCAGTATACTTGCAAATTTTGCTCGTACACTCCCACTCTCGAGTTTCAGGGTTGACCCGGTTTTCAGGAACTCTTGCAACTCGCTGTCGGCTTGTTCGCTGGCCACAGACTGGTAATCTAAGGGTACAGAAATGAGGGCATTAGCACTAGAAAGGATATCTGCGACTATATTATCTTCTCCAACTACAAATTTGATGTCAATGCTGAACTGGCTGATGAAGTCCAGATATCGGAACTGATGTGGCGAACAGTTTTCATGACTTGAGGAAAAAGCGAATGTGTGCGGTCCGTGAAGATCGCGAAAGTTCTTGCCTTAGCCATAAAACGGAAATGCTTAATGGCCTCATAAATAGCTGAAAGCTCGCGACCGTACGGGCTCCATAAACCCTCTGGGCTGGGCTTAGTTATTTTGAAAAATAAAAATGCTAAAGGTTACCACTCACTGTCCTTGTATTGTTGCAGTACAGCTCCCATAGCCGTATTCGAAGCGTCCGTCTGTGCAGATAATACTGCCTATGAATTGGGATGAGCTAGCAATGCGGCATCTGAATGGTCTTTCTTACATTGATCAAAAGCTTCCAGTAGTGCTGGAAGCTTTTGATCAATGTAAGAAAGTGCTGCTCTCACTTTCATTCCAGATGTAGGAAAACGCAGCCGTATTTTTTAAATTTTTGAAGTAAAGATTATGGACTTGGAGCTTCGTTTTGTAGTAAAGGGTACTTATTTTGGAAACAGGACAAAGCAAAACAGCTTGCACATCTGCGGCAATCACAATGCACGATGAATCTTCTTTATCCTTTTCCTTTTCTTTACTTTTTTTTTGTATGTAAACGGTACTCATTTTCTTCTAAATTGCCTGCTTTGTATAGAGCACATTTTTCACACTCCTCTTTTTTTGGCCGGAAAAGTGAAATGTTACTATCTTCCATAGACTTGTAAAAAGTTGTCGTTGAGAACGGTTTTATATTGCGTGAAGCGCACCAGTCTAAAACGTAGAAATCATACAGGGCCTTTTTGCATTGCCATTCAGGTAGTAAGTAAATCCTCGAAGTAGACGCTCGACAATAATGCGATTCCATTTTAGGTAAAGCGTAAAAAAATTCTGTAATATTATAGTGTCTTTCATCAAAGACGGGAACATTTTGTGACGTAACACGTTGCTCGCTAGGTTTGCTGCCGTCATTAAGTTTCTTTTTCCATCCAAGTACTGCCATTCTGCCAATATTTAATGTGTTCAGAAACATAGTTTTGCAAACTCTCACCTTAGGTTCTCCGGGTTCACCAGGCAAGTAGTAGACCAAAGATTGTGTTCTCTTGGATTCTTCCACATGTTTACGGTCTCTTTGTCGTTTGACTGGTAAGGATATTACGTGTTCATCAATACTATTTTTTCACCCCAAGATAATTTCTTCAAGAACTTAACGAAAGTCTCTTTCCTCACATTTTCTTTTATTTTGTCACACTTTGATAGTTTTGATCCTTTACACTTGCAACGATCCTTCAGTTTTTTTTTGTTTCTTTTTCAACTTCGTAAACCCACTTTGAATCTTTTTTCACTCTTCCATAGTATTTGGACCCAGTTTCTCTTAAATTTCTATTCTTTACTGCAAACCAATTTTTACGATCAACTTTGTGTTTTTTATTTCTTATTTTACTTTTAATTAGTAGTTCAGTGTCACTATCAGATGAACTTGAATACGGTACCAAATTCATATTATTTTTGATTCTTGTATAATTGTTACTTCAGACTCAATGGTTTCAATTTCATTAAGGTTTTTATGTTGCTGATTCGAAATCAAATTCAATGAAATATTACTAATTGTAGTTGAACAACTGTCACTGTTGTGTCCTTCATAACTTTCGACATTGCAGACAGTACTTGTAAAAACCATGCCAGTAGACGTGCTAGGCATAGGATCAGAAGGTTCTGTAGTGAATTGGAGGTCTTCAACATTTATATTCGAGGTTTGATGAGCGCCGATGATATTAATAGTACTAGATAGGCTGTTTCCAAGAAGTCCTGAATCCGTATTAGCACAATATACACTATTTATGTCATTAGTGAATTCTATAGTGGAAGGGCTTGTGTTGGAAAAAACAACCGTGTCTTGACAACTTTCAGTGGCGAGAGACGTTTCACGAACTACAGATAAACTTCTTATGTGTATCTGAGCGTCTTCATTATTGCATTGGGTCATGTCACAATCATTGTTATTAGTAGGCGTTGTTAAAACGACGAGGTTTGAGTTAGGATCAATACTAAGGGTAGTTGGTAAAACTTTTTGTGGTTCACTGTCAAAGAAAGAGGGTTCAGTATCGTGAGAAGCAAAAGCAGGTATGTTAGCAGATAAAGTTGATGAGCTGTTGGGTATGACATCAAGTGCATTTTTACTCAAACTCATTTCAACAATTCGTTTCCCTCGAGAATTAAACTTTTTGCTCATCTGAAACAACATAAGCCCGCAAACCAAGCTAAAGCAAACCAATACCAAAAGAATTCTACCTCACCAAAAAGACTATATTAATACTGTACCTATATTAACCTAGGTAAGTAAAAAGAACATTTCTGCAAAGAAATAGAGCAGCCGTAAGTACTTGTATTCCCACCGGATCGGTTAAATCGAAACTAACGCGTGGGCATACTTAATATCTACAGTAGGTAAAGTATAGTAGACTTGTGCGGGTTAGCCAGACTTAGTTTAGATTATACCAATACAGTAGGAAGCTATTATAGAACTATTCCTGCTCTACGTAAGTAACTAAGTATGTTGAAAAATAGAGTTAATCATTTCAGTAGTTTTGTTGTGAAAGAGCTGTAACAAAGCGTCCACCGAACCATCCATACATTCGAATATCTATAAAGTCATACGTAGATACTTATGTGTCGGTAGGTATAAGTGCAATAGATATATAAGGTTATATTACAACACATCAGGTATTAATTTTCTTGTAACCAGACAACATTCATAGCAATCATTGCCACAATAATACCCAATTTCAAGTAAATAAGAAATAAAACATGCCATCTCCACTAATACATTTGCTTGGGTTACTCAAAGTTAAAAGTAAGATCTGCTATCTCCTACCCGTTTCAGCGATCACATTAAATGAGAATTATTCATGTTCAAAAGTCATTTTTTATAAACTGTTATGTAAGAAACATTAAAATGTACTCACCTTGCAAGAAAATCAATGCAGAAATAAGTGTGATAACCATTATAAGATTTGTTTTATAATAAATTATCGCAAACACTTTGTAGTTGCACGGACGCACGAACAAAATGGCGGAGTTTTCATTTTTTACGCGCGATATTTGGTACGCTGTACTTATCAGTTTTGATTGCGTGGTTTTTTCGTGTTTTGTTTAATTTGGATGTATTTAGCATCTTTTCGAGTTGAAAGTTATTTTTTTTCTCTTTCCATCGACATAAAAACCTTCATACTACCAAAAGTGGAGTTAGCAGTTTAACACTTAGTCCACTCAAAGATAACCCATTAGGTGTTACCTTGAGCTTATTGTGGGCTCAATAAGTGACGTTTGCTGTCTCTCTCACATTAAGTCAAAATGACTGTGACACCACAAGAGTTAGTGACATCTTAAGAATGAATAACGTTTGAGTATTCGGCTCATGGAGGTTAAAGAACAGGAGAACGATCGCTACGTACTAAAGCATAGCCCGCCTGTCCTTGACAATTGTAGAATATATAGCGGCGCTGACGTCGGTGAGTAGTGACTGCGAAGTTAGCTGTATGAGTAGTAGGTGAAGTTAGTTGAATAATGTACAAATTTTCATTTCATTTTTTCTTAGAAAATTTTCATGCTCCGTAATTTAGTAATTTTTGACAAAAAGAAACATTAAAAAATGGAGAAATATTTTATTGTGCGAGGATGTGCAAGTAGTTTAGCATCTGATCGGAAAAATAGGCTGAAAATGACTTTTATTGAGACAACTTAGCGATCGCAGTGCCTCACTTATGGTGTCCATATTTCTGGGACACTATTTTCTACGGCGATCGTTCTCCTGTTCTTTAACCTCCATGATTCGGCTATTAGTCGAGTGACAGATGAACTGTGTGAGCAGATCCCGACGTCGTGGCGGCCGACGTTCCTGGAGCCGTCGACGCTGGAGCTGTTCTTCGAGCTGCAGTGCAGCACGGGCGGCGCGCTGTCGGCGCTGGCGCTGGCCTGTCTGGTGCAGCTGGCGTCCGTGCGCCGCAGCCTGTTCAGCAACAGCGAGCGCGCCAAGTTCCTGGACCGCCTGGCGGCCGGCGTGCTGCGCATACTGGACAACACGCAGGTACCGACTGTACACGAGTGTTGCCAAGTGTAGCCATGTAGCTAGTGCAGCTGCGGTCCGTGCGCCGCAGCCTGTTCAGCAACAGCGAGCGCGCCAAGTCCCTGGACCGCCTGGCGGCCGGGTGTTGCCAAGTGTACACGAGTTTTGCCAAGTGTCGTTAAATGTCTAGTTTTTTTTTATAGAATAATGGTGACAAACGCGCACATAGTTCAACTGATAGTAAGTGAATGCTGTGGCCCATAGATATCTGCATCTATCCTCGATTTAGAATCAGAATGCAGATGTGTTGCCACTCCTGAGGACAGGTGGAATGCCTCGTTTTCTATAAAAAAAGAGTTTTTCTACTCACCATACGAAACACAGCAATGTTAAGCTACTATATCACGATGGTATTCTATAAAAGCGTGGTCCTACCCACGTCGAGCTGACCCATTCATGCTACAATCATAATAAAGCTGCTCTACCCCATATAAGTTGTGCGAGTGTTGCCAAATGTCGAAATGTGGCCCAGTGTTATTGAAAAGTGTGCTGTAGCGTGACTCTACCGCGTATAAAATATTATTTCTAGTGCGTATATTTTATATAATTTCTGGTGTTCCAGGGTCTCTCAGAGCCAGCGAACTACCATGAGTTCTGCCGGCTTCTAGCGCGGCTTAAGTCCAATTACCAGCTGGGCGAGCTGGTCATGGTGGAAAACTATCCGCGCCTCATCGAACTTGTCGCCAAGTTCACCGTCCAGAGTCTTCAGGTGAGCAGCTGGTGTCAAATCCCTTTCACAGTTAGATATACTACCCCATATCATCCCAGTGTTGTAAGAAGCCACCATAGAATACTATAATACATACATAATAGAACGGGGGAGTGGGCGGAGTCCGTGTAGCCACTAACATGTCAATTCACACCTATAAATAATGTCAACACGAAATGTGTTTTGACGTTACAACCATTTACAAATTGCGCCTGCAAATTATTTAAAAAATGCCAAATTGCACACTATTTACAAATAAATATGTATTAAAATTTAAATGATTTTTTTAATGATGATCTTGAACATTAATCGGGTTTGTAGTAGTGATAATACGACGTAATTGCTCGTATGTGTGCTCCCGGCGACGCCGATCCTCGTACAAAATAAGGTTGACAGCCATTCTATTGTGTATTATAGTATTCTGTGGAGCCGACAGAAAACAGATGTAGAGATGGACAGCAGCGTCTTTCTAATAACGACTACTAATAAAAAAAACTTAGGTTGCCAACCCGTCTGCTAAGCGTAGCAACTATCCCCCCTCCATCGGAGGCAATCTGTGGGGGAGGTCTATGTTCGGCAGTGAAATTTATTATGCTGTAACGGTAACGGTACGTTTTAGTAATATAACTGAGGTTTTTATCTCGAAGTAAGCACGCTCTATTTTTAGGTTAAAGTTCTTTCTTGACAATCTCTACTTTATTTTTTTTATTAACTGGCTTTATGGCTCTGGGTACTAGCCCTTCTGAGCCTATCATTTAATTCAGAATCTTCATTTTATATATTTTTTCTTCACAATATGCTGATGCGTCACATTGCGAAGTTTTTGGGAGATTTTGACGACAGCTCAACCCTGCGGATAGTAGATGACTACAGCCACTCAAGTTCATAAGGCGCCCAAGCGATCTAATTAACTTGAGGTTCATATCAACATCAAAGCACTTGTTTCGTTGTTTTCTCTAATAGTTCACACGCGCGGACACTTAATTCACAAAATCACATCACTTTTACGAATTAAAATCCACTTCAAACCATTATTCAAGCGACAAAACAGGAGCGATAGTCCGTCGTTGGCCAAGTTCCCGCCAAAACTCTCTCTCTACTCTATGCTACTGTTTGATCACAGACCATAAAGTGTTTGACATTGGACTTAGAGTAATAACACACATATGCTTTGTACTTATGACTTTTTACCTAAGACCAACATAAAGGCGGCTACTCACTTGCCTGCCGCAGGGACAATCTAGGGTGTACAGCAATCGGGGCTCATTGATATTTCGATAAAACTGGTGCCATTCTCGACGCGTGTTAAGCGAAAGTACACGCTAATACAAACGGTACATATGAACGGTAGGCATGTGTGTAGAAACAGTTCTGATATTGCCCCGATCGCTTTACACCCTCGATTGCCCCTGCGGCAGGCAAGTTAGTAGCTGTCTTAAAAAGATAGATAGAACATTATATATTTTAAGTATCGCTGAAATTTATTGTATGAACACGCACTCACGCACTTTCGTTCATTCATTACATCCCTTCAAAAGTCCACAGCTGAACATAGACCTCTCCCAAGGAATACCACAAAGCACTGTCCTGAGCCACCTGAATCCATCGACGTCCTGCATGTCTTACCAGGTCGTCACTACATCTACATGTAGTGGGCGGCCGCACTTCACTTCGTATACCGGTACGAGGCTGCCATTCGAGGACCATTTTTCCCCATCGGTTATCATGGCCAGCCCATCGCCATTTCAGCTTACTAATCTGTTGGGCTAAGTAGGTTGAGCACGCGCACATATATACATATTTTATGCTGCAATTATATTAGTAGTATAGTTGTAGCACGAATGGGTCGGCTCGACCGGGGAAAGACCACGCTCTCACAGAATACAAGAATAAATAGTAGCTTAATGCTGCTGTGTTTCGTATGGTGAGTGTAGAGAACCGGAGACCCTTTTTACTGGAAACGGGGCATTTTGATTCGTAATCGACGATAGATGTAGATGTCTATGGGCCACAGCAATCAATTACCATCAGATGGACTGTGTGCTCGTATCCTATTAAAAAAAAACATATGCATCTATAATCACTTGCAACCAACAACATAGCTGTAGGTGCATATGCGTGCGTCTAGCGTCTAAAAACAAGTGGTAAAATTAAAAATTTCGTGCAACCGAATCAATATAATTAACATGAGAACAACAGTCATTTAAATACTCATTATTAAGGATAACTCAAAAACTACTTGTCATATTTTGATTAAATTTATTTGGGACCACACGAGAAGCACCAGCTTTTAGATAAGAAAAGAATTATATATAGTATATATAATAATTATAATTAGAACCCTCTCAGAAATGAGGGGAGGCCTGAGCCCAGCAGTGGGACGTATATAGGCTGTAACTTTACTTTACTTTTAACGCTGCAGCTATATTGTGGTATATATGTGTAGCACGAATGGGTCGGCTCGACCGGGGAAGGACCACGCTCTCACAGAATACCAGCGTAAAATAGCAGCTTAATGCTACTGTGTTTCATATGGTGAGTGTAAAATACCGGAGACTCTTTTATATTGGAAATGAGACATTCCATCTTTGTCCTCAGGTTTGAGCATGCATATGAATTTTGATTCTAGAGCAGGGATAAATGCACCAATGGCGCGCTTGCCAACGATGGCACGCGGCACAACATTTTGGGCACGCCACCAATCACAAAGTTCAACATGAAGTATTATATTACCAACGAACGCGAGCGATCCTAGTTATATCGTGGACTACTTGTGCTAATGACGCATATTTCGTTTCATCATCAATACAGCCCTTCACAAGTCCAAGCCTCCCCCAAAGAATGCATAGTTCGTTTACGCATAGCATGATAGTCGATTTCGTTGATACAACTGTAGTTAAAAATTCATTTGTGTTATATTTAGGATTTTTTACAACCCCAATATAAGTCACACTAATGTTACTTAAATTTAATTATGCGTATAACTGAAACATTACATAAAACATAAACACTCACGCCTGTCACCCAGAGGGGTAGGCAGAGACTACGGACTTACATTTGGCATGATCCTGACATACTTCTCTCGCCTCCTTTACATCCATGTATCTACGCATACACGCTCGTCTGTTAAGAGTACTCCTAATGTGGCCCATTTTCAAAATATCGCCAATTTGGTTGATGAACCTTCTTCTAGGGCGTCACTTCCCGACTCTGCCGTCACATCTGCACTTGCTTTGTCACTCTTTCCTCATTCATTCTTTCTACACGACTAAACCACCGAAGCATTCTATCTTAATCCTGGTCACGACAACATCTTGCACACCTCATTTTTCTCTTATGACGCAATGAAACATTTATTATTGTAGATAGTATAATATATAATTACTAGCTGTACCCCGCGGTTTCACCCGCGTTTTTCTCGTTTCCGTGGAAATACCGAGATAAAATATTGCCTATATTATAGCCTCCCTCAATAAATGGACTATTGAATATTTAAACAGTTTTCATATCAGATCAGTATTTCCCGAAATTACCGCGTTCATAAAAAACAACCAAACTTTTCAGCTTTATAATATAAAGAAAATATAGATTAAGTTAAATTGTATAAGTCGCAGGCAATAGCTGTCTATCTGTTCGACATTCAGCCAGACACATAAGAATTACGACTACAGGCGGGAGTGTCCGTCCACTTTAAACCGGGTTAAAATATTATTTTAAAGTACTTCTGAGTAAATTATATGTTTCGTTTTATTTTCTTGTGGCAGAAGAATATATTGATTGTTTCCGCAACCTGATCTTGACAACGCGACATATAGTTGGCCGTGCGAAAAACAGTCTTGCCGTAAATCTAATCCTACATATTTAAATGTTTGCCCCTGTGATTTATTTATCGTTACGGCAAAAGATAATTTAATTGGGAATTGGACTCTTTTAAAATGAAAAGGCAAATCATTTGGAATCATTGGGATCCGAGGTATAAGTACTGTTTGACCAACCGCTGGACCAGTCAAAACTGTTGCAACGATCACGTTATTGCGAAGAAATTTAACCTGAAGTCGAGTCCCGTTACATAAAGGTGGCTTAAGATTTCTAAGTAAAATAATTGGGGCACCAATTTTTTACTTGAGAGAATGTGGGGGGAGGCCACTCGGGTTTAAAGAATTAAGAAATTCCTGTGGATAATGGACTGCATCTTTTTGATCCATTACATTATCAATAGAAGTGTAGGTGACTATATCCCCTGGAATTTTAGTTAAAATTAAATCGTTAATTTCGTCAACACTACTGTTTCTCGCCGCCAATATTGCTCGTTGACACATCCATTGATCATCTTTATTTTCTATTTCGACGATATCTGGGTAAACTTATGATATTAAACTCTCAATCCCAGTCACTTTTTCTCCTAAATCTTGATAAATAGGTATTTTATTTTTAAAATGAGGTACTTTTCCGTGTCCTATTAAAAGTAACTTCAAAGGAAAGTTTGTACTACCTCCCCCCAAATGTGCTCCCATGTTCGTAGATAGTTTTAAGGTATGAACAAATTTCCATAATGCAGAACTTTTGAGGCAAGATTTTACAATGTCTGCTCTAGTTCCTCCGAAAGTAGTTTGCCGAAAATCCCCAGCAAACATGACAGTAATCCCACCCATGATTTTATCACAGCTTCTAATATCTCTAAGAGTCCTATCTAGAGCCTCTACATGAGCTCTATGAATCATGGTACATTCATCCCAGATTATTAAAGTGACGTCTTGCAAAACTTTTCCTAAAAGGCCATTTTTACGAATAGAGCACACGCTATCTTTCTGTAACGAAACAGTTAGGGGCAGTTTAAAAGTGGAATAAGCTGTGCGTCCACCAGCTAATAAAGTTGCAGCGATTCCTGATGACGCTACTGCCAAACCTAGTTTTCCCTGAGACCTTACTTTTGATAGCATCAAATTAGTAATGAAAGTTTTGCCGGTTCCGCCTGGAGCATCCAAAAAAAATATTTTTCCCTCATTGAAACGAACACTGTGCATTGCAACACTATTGTATGCCATCACCTGGTCATTAACTAACTTGGGTTCATTTACCAGTAATATACTCATTTAATTCATTTACATCGTATGGCTTCCGCAACGCTATTTCTAAAGGATCCAAATTATGGTGTGTGTTATTCCTTTTTGTTGCAGGAAGCCCAAAATCAGTTAATGATTTATCGCAAATCTCATGAATCTTATCTTCAATTATGATAAGGCCATCATTGTATATGTCATCACTATATGCTAATGTCATATCCTGGGTCTCATTACGCATTCTGTATAATATATCTTGACACAAATCTTCCCGAAATTTGTTCCATAGCCGCAAGGGGTCAGATGGTTGGCAAAATATGAGGATTATGGTAAATAATTCATAGATGATTATGAGCAATAAGCATTATTGCTCATAATCATCTTTGTCTGCACAATAAAATAACTTGTTCCTGCGAAAAAATCCCACTTGTTAAGTATCACACATACTTAGGACTGATTATAGATAATAGGATGAACTGGAAGAATCATATTGACTACGTGTGTAGTAAATTAAGGGCAATCCTAGCGAAATTTTATATTATTCGTAATAAAGTTCCATTTAAAATTCTTCTAAGCCTATATAATGCTCTAGTGGAATCGATAGTATCGTATGGTCTTAGTAGTTATGGACGAACTTTCCGCACTTACCTAGATAAAATTTACAGCTTACAAATAAGAATTTTAAAATCTATATTGCCTCAACACATTAAGGACAAATATCGAAATGATTACTCATACCTTTTCACGTACTGCAAAGTTTTACCCATACATAAAAAGGTGAAATATATGATTTTAAAAGAATGTTATGAATACTCGATGTACCCAACCCCAAGGGAACGCATTTATAGCACTAGAAATAAAACACCTTATTCACCAATTAGAACTAATAATTACTACGGTAAGAGAACACGTAAATTTCTAATACCATACATATTAAATTCTTTACCTACGGAGATAAGAAGCCAGCTAACCGCACAAAACTTAAAAATTTTTTTCGCATAATAAGAATTCAAAAAAGTATCTATATATATTATTCCAATGAGAATCATAACGAGCTATATCTATCTATGCCAATAATTGTTAAATTGGACAAATAAACAAAACGTGTTACAAAATAAAATACATGAAAAAAAAATATTCCGTAAAAATACACTCCGTGTGTACGCGCATAAGATAGTGTAGTATATCGGATAAGCGAACAACTGAAGACAACAATCACGTTTTTACTTCACTACTCCTGGTAAACAATACCAAAAACTACCTTCTCCACAAAAAAAAATTGTTTAAGAGATACATATTATAGATTTTATATAAATTTTTTATGCCAAATTTTTTTTTAATAATTTGTAGCACAATTGTTTCATAGTACTTTATATTTAGTTTAAGTAAAAGTTAATTCTAATGTCATTCAAATAATAAGCTTAAGTAAATTAATGTATAATTAAGAGCAAACTGTGCAGTGCCAAGACAAACAATAGATGTTTAATGGCACGAAGAAATTGATTTTGTAATTAAAACTGTTACTTTGTTGAATAAATAAAAAAAAAAAATTATGGAGCCGGCTCGGACATGACAGCATCTGACATAGTATTTTGCCAATGTTCATCTCCCTCCAGTAAACCTAATTCCTTGCAAGCTCCTTGATAAGTATTGAAGATAACACCATTTACTGTCCTTAGATGTTGAAATGGCATTGGACCGCGAACATGATCCACTAACATTCTTAAAGAGTAACATTCAGTTTGTGTCGGATGAATGTTGTAGACACGACCTAAAGTTGAGTCTTTTTTTATACCGGGATATCCTTCAACATCTTGTCCACGTCTTCTTCTAGAAAATGAATTTCTTTCCCATACGTAATACTGGGGTACTTCGTGATATAAAAGGGTTTTGGCAAAATCGTCTCTTTTGCAAAAATCAAAGAACGCTGTAAGTGTCGTTGATGAAGGATTGTTGACGCGATCTTGAAGATTTTCATTATCATAAAAATAAACTCTTTGTCCATTTTCTAAATGAACTGATAAATGAACTATTGCCGGAAAACGTTTATGAATCGGAAATTGGAAAATTCTCCAGAGTGCTTCCGAGGAACTTATATAGCGACCATTTAAATATTTTTCTACTTCATCGTTATTATTTTGTAACGAAAATGTGGCTTGATCAGAACCTTTATGAATATACTTACAGCCAGCCAAGCCTCTCAGAAATCATTTTTGCCGCTATATCAACACAGTATTGATAAAATAATCCTTTGAAATAATGTATGCTGTTAAAGTCATTTATTCTCACCATGAGTCTAAATGCATAAAACTGCATACATGATATAGTTTTAGATCTAGCAGTATACAATATCCGTCATTTCCAAAGGGAAACAGTAAAGGATATTGAAGTGGGTCAGAAGATCTATGTATTTCAGAAACTCGCTGAAGGCGCCCGTCTCTGGTATTTAACACTATATCTCGGGGACCTTTGTCTTCATCTATTAAAAAACAGCTACTTCATCTACCATGGGCGCGTTATATCGACCTCGATGTTCATTAAGAGGTTTCACATCAGCATGAATGATAAGTTTAAAATCATTCGTTGGTCTGTTTTCGAGATTATATTTAAAACTTTGAATACAAGTATTGTGATCGTGAAGATATGTTTGGAGAGCGTCGATAAGATCGGTTTTTAACGTTGGGTTTAAATTTGAGCGTAAAGATACCTGATCTGTATGGGAAATAAAATATATTTGCAAAAATTCGGGTTGTGCGCATTCAGGTGGAAGTAAATTACCGATCAGATGGTAAACTTGCTCTTGGACTTTAAAAGTGCGCATAAAGTTTCCTTCACGAATTTCTTTGGCACCAAATGAAGTCATCTGAAACAGAATATTATATTGTCTAGAGTGATTTAAGAAATGCTTAGAAGATGGATGTGAGCCTGATATTAGATCTTTAAGAATTGATGTTAGTGCTGGAATTTTAGGAATATTTACTTTGCCACCACTACAACACAGTCCAGGAGCTTCAGCCGGCCATTTTTTTGCTTGACATGAATCACATATGTTATTCATTCTGCAAATATTAGTACCATTTAGCTCAGCATAGTCAAGGGTATAATCATAAGCAAATGCTGAATTCAATAAATTATATTGCCTGCGAGTTCTGTTCCTTGCTGTTCGTGCATTTTGCTGTGCTAATCGATGGGAACGTTCAGCACTTGATTCCCGTTCCCGGTTTGCCGAAGTGCGGGAATTCTGTGTAGCTAAAAGAACGTTCAGCGCTTGATTCCCGTTGCCGGTTTGCCAAAGTGCGGTAATTCAGTGTAGCTAAACGTTGAGAACGTTCAGCGCTTGATTCCCGCTCGCGATTTGCCGAAGTTCGGGAATTTTGTGCGGCTAAACGTTGAGAACGTTCAGCACTTGATTCCCGTTGTCGATTCGCCGAAGTACGGATATTTTGTGAGACTAACCGCTGCGAACGTTCAACACTCGATTCCCTAACACGGTTTTGTTCACTGATCGCTCGTTGAGTAGCCAACCTGTGCAGATTTTCTTCGGGTGTTTCATTGCTGCAATTAAAATAAACTGAAACTTAGTAATCGGGTAAAAGAAACGTAAGGTGAGTAATTATTAAAAGTCGTATGAAATATATGTCGAAGGAATTATCGTAAATGACTTCAAAAAACGCAACGCTGTATTCAACCGTTTCGTAGGGAGCCGACCACGCGTCTGAACCGCGCGGCATGGTACCTTGTAAACCAAAACACGCGGGCGGCGCGGCGGCGGGGGGGGCGCGTGACAGGCGGCCAGCAAGCGCGGCCTCCTCGTCTCGCCCGCCGCCGCGCCACCAGCGTCTCGTCTTGCTTGCATCAAGCGCGCGTGGATTTCCTAGCAGAATTATTTTAGAAATGTATTTATTATACCCTTCAAAGATCTTATACTTACAATCATCAACAAATATATTTCGAAAAAGATTATTACAGGATTTTATGTTGATAAAAAACTCTATATGGCCCATAACTCATTAATAGGTACCAACTCTTAACATCTTACACACGTGATAACTTTTAAACGAAATATCCGATTGAGATGAAACAAAAAGTATTTTACTTCTACATAAATACTCTTGATAACATAATGCTTAATTTCGATAAAGATTAATATTACGATACATATTTAACGTAGTTTTTTTTTCTTCAGACGATTTAATAATTATTTTGAACACAAAATCGGTTATTGTGATTAAACCATGATAGCTAGATATATGTTCTCGCGGACTTTTTTGTAGGTCTTAATGGGATCTACAAACCCGTAGTACATCATTTTGTTTTATTGTCAATAGTTTTTGCAGCGCACGCAAAAATAGGTTTTCGATTTTACACCTTGTGTTACAAAATAGCAATTTTATTACGGATCCCTAATTTTGAAAAAAAAAAAATAGCCTATAGCCTTCCTCGATAAATGGACTTCCCAACACTGAAAGAATCATTCAAATGGGACCAGTAGTTCCAGAGATTAGCGCGTTCAAACAAACAAACACTGCAGCTTTATAATATTAGTATAGATTATACATTGTATAATTATAAATGTCTCAATTCAAACCTTTTTTTTTTGTAGTAAATAAAGAGTTTTGAGTCGATAGTATTTAGGAATATTATTTTCCTAATAATCACGAAGTCAAAGTTATTTTACGGCACGTCTATTACCTAATTGATCATTTCTTTAGAAAAATTGCGCACTTTGATACGTAAAACACTTCTGGGGACTGGATTTTCTTACACCGCCACTATATGTTCACGGTATTACAATATTATAATAGTACAAATTTCAATGGCCGACTCTTTGATTTCAGATGTGGCAATTTGCCCCGAACTCGGTCCACTATCTCCTATCGCTATGGCAACGTATGGTAGCCTCCGTGCCGTATGTGAAAGCAACGGAACCCCACCAGCTGGAGACGTACGCCCCAGGAGTCACCGCTGCCTACATCAACTCCAGGCTCGACTCTGTTGCCGTTGTTATCAGGTATGGCCTCAGTAGCCTAATGGTTTTTGCAGTTTATTTATTTATTAATTTTTAGATACATGCTTACAAGCTAACAGATGGTAGCATCCAACACGCATGTAAAATTACATACATTAAGTTAAAATTATCTATTTTAAGTCATAATCTTAATCAATTAAAACACATAACATTAAATTACCAGATAAATCGCATTAAATTAAAATAAAAAATAAAATAAAAATAATTGCAGAACAAATAAAAAAAATATAAAATATGTAATATAGGAAAGGTGTCAGTGAAGGAGACGTGTGGTTGTTACTAAAACTTTAATTAGACTGCCTCATTATTCTACCTTAACACTAAAGTATATTAACGTGGGAACACTACACTACAAACGATCAAAGTAAAATAAAAATATAGACAGATCAATCCATCCATTACAGCCTATAAAAGGTAACCGCTGAATGTAGGTCTCTCCATTGATTGCCTGGTAAGGGGATATTTGCTATAAAATTAAAGTTACAGCCTGTTTACGTCCCACAGGCTTCCTGTTGAGTATCAAGCTTCACTTGTGGTGGTGGAATCCTTGAATTAAATAAATGTTTTGATATGTAGACTGTAAAAGTAAAGTTACAGCCTATATACGTCCCACTGCTGTTCACAGGCTGAGAGGCTGAGAGGATTTTAGGGCGAACCTCACTTGTCTTGGAACGAAATATTTTTTTAATTTCTCAGACATGCACGTTTCCTCAAGATGTTTTCCTTTACCACTGACCATGTGGTAAATCAGCAATTAAAATTGCAATTAACAATTTCCACCATGTGGATGCTTGGTGGTCCACCACTGTACGTTTCACAGGCAGTTTTTTTCCGCGTACGACCTTTCTGTGGAATATTTTACGACCGGCGATTTTTCCGGACCGATACGACCTGGAAGGTAAGCTCTTTTCTTGAAGGTTTCTTCAAGGAAAAGGGTTACTCCTTTCTAAAGGGCCGGCAGCGCACCTGCAATTCCCCTGGTGTTGCGGTTGTTCATGGGCGGCGGGGCGGTAGTCACTTAACACCAGGTGAGCCGCATGCTCGTTTGCCCCCTCTTCTATAAATTAAAAAAAATCATTGGTGCCGGCGGGGATCGAACCCGGGTTACTCGCGTACTGTGATATTTACAGCGAGCGTTAACCATCTGAGCTACCACGGCTGTATAGGTAATTTAATAGGTTTTGATATAATATACAAGTAAGAGTAGCCGATATGCATGCGTTCGCGAGCGGGTGCTTACGAGCGCGTGTCGTGTTTAGTGGCGTTGCGCTGTATGCGTGGTGGTGATGGGGCTACGCACCGCTCGCAGAACCGAGTTGACGTTCTCTGCCCGCCGATACGAGCAGTGACGCCAGGAACAACCTCCTCTCTATTCTGAGTAGGTTTTAGGGCAAGGAAATGGCCGCCGCGCTGCCCCAATGCGTGTTGGCAAACTTCACTTATCTTCGAACGAAATATTTTATTTTGTTTCTCAGACACGTAAGTTTGCTCACGGTGTTTTTCTTCATCGCTGAGCATGGGGTAATTAAAAAGTTGCAATTAACAATTTCACTGGTGCGGGGTTCGAACCCGGTTTACTCGCTGACTGTGAAATTTACAGCGGGCGCTTAGTCCTTGAACTATCACGGATCTGTGCTATATTTTCCAAAGTTGCTATTAAAATATATGAATAAAAAGTATGTTGGATTTGAATTTCGTTTGATTTTAACTCAACGTACAAACAAATGAACACTCAGTTTTTGATAAGTAACAAAGACATGAGAATATGAATCGACATTATTATTTTTGACTACACATGTTAGTTTAAAGAAACTGCATGTTGCAACCTTTAAATAAATGCCATGCTTGCCAGTACTTCAAAACGAGGATATCCGCAGCAGAATCAGAGTAACCAACATAGCCCAACGGGTTAGATTTTTTTTTAATAGGATATGTTGACAAACTAGTACACATTGAATAAAACTAAATTTACGGATTTTATCGCATTTATTTCATTACTTTTACTTATTTTTAATTCCCGACGTTTCGGGTGCTTTACAGCACCCATGGTCATGGGGGGGGGACTGAGATGTTTGACGTCCCAATGTCATTTCAGGCTATTGAAATTAAAAAACATCCAAATTTCAATAGAGAAGATGGATGGTGCTGCCATCTGCTTGGGATCCTATAATTAACAAAATTAAACCCAAACCCCAAGCATACCACTGCAAGACTTCATGATACTGTAAGCTCGTTTTGCGTAAATCGGACCAAAAATCAAAAATTAATATTCAAAAACTGAAGGTAGCCGGACTAACTATGGCATTGGGACGTCAAACATCTCAGTCCCCCCCGTGACTATGGGAGCTGTAAAGCACCGGAAACGTCGGGAATCAAAAATAAGTAAAAGTAATGAAACTAACGCGATAAAATCCGTAAATTTAGTTTTATTCAATGTGTAGTGTTCGCGTAAATTTAAGAAATCATTATGTAAACTAGTACACAGCTCACCTGATGGTAAGTAGTTTCTGCGGCCCATAGATATCCACATCTATCCTCGATTACGAATCAAAATGCAGATGCGTTGTCACCCGTGAGGACTAAGATGGAATGTCTCGTTTCCAGTAAAAAAAAATTCTCAGGTTCTCTACACTCACCATACGACGCACTCTGCTATTTTAAGATACCTGTTTTTTATCTGTTGCGATAAATATGCCTCAATCCTAGTTTCCGGAATATTCTCCAGTAAACGTAATGCAACATGTAATTGGCTGTCGTAACAATATGTTAATTACCTAAAATTTTACCCAAGAGACTCCTTTGGGCAAGGCTAAATAATCTTTTATATATGTGTGCTTATGACCACACGACGACGATATTATATATATATATATATATATATATATACAGGCTGGTCCAAACAGTGAGGTTATAAAATTTTTTTTTTGATTCCTCACACCTAGGTGTATCCGAAAATACCCTATGTATGTTACGCGATTTTTTGTAGTTTGTAGTTTAACTTAAAAATTTTCTGTCAAGAGAGTGGGGCTTGAATTTTCAACATTAAATGAAAAATAGTAATAAATGATTTCATACTTTCTAATTAATTTTAAAAACTTTGCAGTACCTTAATCTTTCATAATAAAATTAAAAAAATGACACTTAATAGACCAGTTTTTCTGTTACAGACTTCTGAAGTTACTCAGGAAGGAAACTACCTAAATAGTTAATTTGATTTAAAAAATCTTTTTATCATTTCTAGGGCTAAACTAAGATAGTAAATGCTTCAGGTTAGCAAAGAAAACTACTTATTGTTAAAACGTGACATTTATTAAGGTATCATTTTACTACAAACTACATGTTTTTTTTTTTATTTCACTGAAACTAAATGATAGCACATTCAGTCACAAACACACAAAGGAATTTTGAACAAAGGCTCAGGTAAACATTCCTGCTTTGCGCTCTATTTTGTTACCAGGCCGCACCCCGCGCCCCGCGCCACACCGACTGCGTCCCTTTTTCACCTCGCTCGGTCCCGCCAGTCGTTCACTGTTTTCCCGCGTGCAACCACTACTCACGTTTACGTTTATTTGGATCTCTTATTTGACTACCTTCGCTTTGTTTCCCGGATTCTTGATTTGCCTTACGATTGACCTGTGCTTGTTTTATGGACCTTGAGTTGCTTAGTGATTTGGATTACTTTTAGCAATGAGTTATTCTCTCAGTCAATACGCAGAGGTGCACTATTTCTACGGCGTTGCCCAAGGAAACGGCGCATTAGCGGCACGGCTTTATCGAGAGCAACTAGAGCGGCGAGGAGAAGTGTTAGAGCATTACCCGGGCTACAGGGTTTTTAATAAGACCCACGAAACCCTGATGGCTGGACGCGTTCCTGGGCGTAATCAACGTCGCGAGGGACTATCCAGAGTGGATCCAGAAAGAAGAGATGTAATTATTGAAGAAGTAGAAAGAGACCCTTCTATTAGTTCACGAGCGATTACGAGAGGGATTGGAATCCCAAAGACTTCAGTTTTAAGAATACTGAAATCAGGTGAGTGCATTTTATTATTTTGTAGACCTCTTTATTCAAAATCCCAACACATTGCTGCACTGCCATTTCAAATCACACTCATTTAATTTACTGTGAATTGTCGATGTCTAATGTGTTGTGTGTGCGTGTAAAAGAGAGAGATGTAGAGACCCTTAAACAAGCGCTCGTAATTCAAAAATAGGCGCTAGGACGCCACTCTAGCGAATCCCAACTTTTAGTTTCACGTTCACGTGCTCTATTGGTACGTACCTCTAGTATTGTGTACAATGACAACCTACAATAAAAATACTAATCTTTTTTTCCAGAGGTATATCACGCGTTTCATATTCAGCGTGTTCAACAACTTAACGACGCAGACTATCCAAGGCGTGTTGCTTTCTGCCAAATAATGCTGGAAAGATCTGCGGAAGACCCGGATTTTTTTTAACAAGATACTCTGGACGGATGAATCCCGGTTTGAAAGGACTGGCGTCTTTAACACTCACAATCATCATAGCTGGGCCATTGAAAACCCAAAAAAAGCAAGGCAGTCAAATTTTCAGAATAGATTTAGTATCAACATGTGGTCAGGAGTCATAAATGGAGAAATGGTTGGACCCTTTGAATTGTCTAGGTTGAACGGGTCCCAGTACCTGAATTTTCTACAAAATAATTTAAATGGTTTATTGTTTGAAGTTAATTTACAAACGAGGAGGGATATGATATTTCAAAATGACGGTGCTCCTTGCCATTTTGAAAGACAAGTGAGGGAGCACCTCAACAGAACTTTCCCAGGAAGGTGGATTGGGCGTGCAGGGCCAATCGAATGGCCTGCACGCTCACCAGATTTAAACCCTATAGATTTTTTTATTTGGGGATTCTACAAAGAGATGGTGTATGCTAGAAAAATTAATTCGGAAAATGAATTAAGGGAAAAATTGAGACAGTGCGCAGAAAAAATCAAAGAAAATACGAATGCTTTTCGAAGACTAAAAGCAAATTTTTTAAGACGATGTAGACTGTGTATCGAAGTTAATGGCCGACATTTCGAAAATTTACTTTAAATAAATTTATCTTAAATTATTTACTACTTTTATTATGAATCTTGAAATCATTTGTCCACAACGTAGTAAAATGATATCTTGTTGTCTATAAATTTTAAACAATAAGTAAAGACACTTGATGTTATTTTTGCTAACCTAAAGCATTTACTATCTTAGTTTTCCCCTAGAAATGATAAGATTTTTTAAATCAAATTAACTATTCAGGTAGTTTCCTGCCTGAGTGACTTTAGAAGTCTGTAACAGAAAAACTGGCCTATTAAGTGTCATTTTTTTAATGTTATTATGAAAGATTAAGGTACTGCCAAGTTTTTAAAATTAATTAGAAAGTATGAAATCATTTATTACTATTTTTCATTTAATGTTGAAAATTCAAGCCCCACTCTCCTGACAGAAAATTTTTAGATAAAATTATTTATGGTGAATGTTAGGGTAATTATTTTTTAATAGGCAACTCATAAGGATCTGCTACAAAAAAAAAACTTGGGAAATTACATTTTTTTTATTGTTAAGCTGTTTAGGGTGAATATTTTCAAAAAAAGGGTAAAAAAATCATAACTCGAAAACTACAAAAAATCGTGTAACATACATAGGGTATTTTCGGATACCCCTAGGTGTGAGGAATCAAAAAAAATTTTATAACCTCATTGTTTGGACCAACCTGTATATATATATATATATATATGTATTACAAATATAATTAAATTTATTATCAGCTTCCTTCCATAATTTGTTGTTATTCACCCGAAATTTACAAAACATGAACTTTAAAATGAATTTACAATTTTATTCGCTTTAAACGTAGAATTTTTAATGTATTAAACTAAATATTAATTCATAAAATTGTTCAAAACGAAATAAAATTACGAAAAATGAGGCTATGAGAGAAAGAGAGAAAAAATAGTGCGCGCTCTCTCTTGCTTATATCCCCCACTCAACTCCCGTTCGCCTTATCCAACCACACTTTTCGTAACGCTTTCGTCACGCGTTCGCAAGCTTACTCCTCAAGTCAACCGACGCTAGCCAAGAAGTTTAACTTCAAAAATTGTATATCACATTGTTTGTTCGCGATGAACTTCTAAACTACTGAACTTATTTGAATGAAACTTTACACACTGTATGCAGTTTGATCCAACTTGAGAAATAGAATAGTTTTTATCCCTCAATAATTTTTATTATGAATTTAAGGCTTTTTTAAAAAGACAAAGGATTCTCGGAGAGGGCAGAACAACGTCTGCCTGGTCAGCTAATAGTAATAATATACTTCAAATCGAATTTCGCCTGTCTCAATGGACACTAGCCATCTGAGCTGGACAAAATTTTAGTGAACTATAATCGTGCTTCACGGCTACCGGGTCCGATTGTGAATCTAAACCATCCCAAGGGACCCACTCAAACGTACAAAAAATTTCATAAGAATCGCACGAGAGCTAGTTTCGAGTTTTAGCGAGACTAACGTAGAACAATTGATTTTTGTATATAGAAAATGAGTGTGTACGCAAACCAGTTGCGCTCTCTATTTCCTCACACTCGTAGTTTGATGGGACGGTAATCTGACACTACCTGAGGAGAGAGAACAGGCGCAGAAACCACGGCTTCACATGCTTTCCGAGTCACGGGGCTGAAATACCGCTAAATTCCAAAACTTGTTAACGAACAAACTGCGATTCGAACTCGGAACCTCGTGATTTAGGAGGTTTACCACTGGATCAATAAGGCAGTCATTAAATTTACAGCGAGTTTGAGTAATGTGTCTATTAATGATTTCTTAAATTTACGCGAACACTACACATTGAATAAAACTATTATTTACGGATTTTATCGCGTTTAATTACTTTAATTTATTTTTATTATTATCCCGACGTTTCGGGTCCCAGTCCCCCCCCCCCCCGTGACCATAGGTGCTGTAAAGTACCCGAAACGTCGGGATAATAATAAAAATAAATTAAAGTAATTAAACGCGATAAAATCCGTAAATAATAGTTTTATTCAAAATGTGTCTATTTTGGGCACTCACATTTTATCTTGACAAGGTATATTGATCCTTATAAGGTCATGTTTAAGGACTGATTTCCCATACATCGTTGTAATTTTTGTTGCATTTCAGGAATATTCTCGCTAAAAAGTGATGGAACATGAAACCGAATGTGTTAACAATGTTTATTTTTAAATTTTACTCTTTCTCTTCCTTTTCTTAGCTCTTCTGCTTATAAGCAAATTGTATAAGTGTTAATACTGAGCCCTGTATGTCCTTCCCCAGGGAAGGTCTGGAGGACCCGCTGGACGACACGGGCACGGTGCAGCAGCAGCTGGAGCAGCTGTCGGTGATCGGGCGCTGCGAGTACGCCAAGACCTGCCAGCTGCTGGTGGCGCACTTCGACCGCGCGGCCGCAGAGTACAGCGTGGAGCAGCGGGCCCACCATCTGCCCGTGCTGCAAGGTACGCCTCTATATCTTTATCTATACGTTGATATGTGCAGAAACTGGCTCGTTGGTCTAGTGGTTGTAGTAGTGCGACTGCTGATCGTTAGGTCCCGGGTTCAAATCCCGGGTCGGGGCAAAAAATCGATTATTGAGTTTTTCCATCAAGAAATTCTCAGTATTCTTTTATTTTTTTTTATTTTTTCTTCTTTTCGTACAAGTTTGGGGGAGTCTTCCTTTTTTTAATATTGGTAACTAGAAAAAATAAAAAAAATTATAGCAAAGAGAACATTTTTTTTCTATCTTTAACTTGAGTTGCATCACTTGCCTCCCTTTCCCCTTAAGTGCTTAAAGGTGCAAAGTGTTTATAAAAATAAAAAAAAGAACATCCGGAAAAATATTATTTCAAATTCTCAGTAGCCGCCCGGAGTCAGGAAGTTGGCGGTGTCTCACCCCCCTGCCTCGGAAAGCACGTAAAGCCGTTGGTCCTCCGCCTGATCTCTCTCCGGTCGTGTCGGTTTACCCCCCATCGGGTTATGAGCGTGAGGCAATAGAGAGTGCACCTGTGCTTACGCATACACTTGGGCACTATAATCCTGTCCTGCGCCGATGGCTAGCCTCCATTGAGGCAGGCCGCTGTGGCCGAAATTCGGTCTGGAGGACATTATATGTGCAGGGTATGCTGTATACTACACTATCTGCCGGTGTTGCAAGGTACGGCGTATATATAACATATAACAAAAACCTTGACCTTTAAGTGCGTTATCAGAGTCAGTATCCAAACGTATACAAATAATTTTACTCTTAAAATAATTTATAGTTACTCAACGTATTACTAATATGCGCAGCATCGATTACGCGGGAGTCTTTAACAATAGTCTTACTCTCCTGCTAATACAGGGGTAAATAGATCTTCGGTTAAAATATAGAGTTAAAACATAGCTGTTGGTGGAGCCACGTGTTTAAGGCTGCCGAAAATCTAGTTCCCCGGTCAAACCTCAAACCTATTACGCGAGATATTAACTAAAGTGGACTGTATATGCGATTGCTTCTATGCTTATGTAAAATCGACTACTATAGCATGCGGTACAATGCACTCGCTCTTCCCTAAACTAAACTATTACTTGTCGAATCGATGAAAGGAATCCTGCTTGACTAGGAAAAAAAACACAGATTGGAGCGGGTTAAATTATTAGCAAGCAGGTATAATTAAGGAATATTGACTCACCGGGGTTTCTTCTTCCTGTCGATCACTATAGCGGCGACTTCCGGAACCTCCTCTGGACAGACACTTCTGGGGCCCCAGTGGTGCGTCAGGAGAGAAGCGTTGGTTCAACGACGACTGCGGCGGGAGAAGAGGCTCGCGCATCGGTCGCGCGTGTCTTATATATCCTCGGCTCGGGTGATTACGCGATGTTCTAGAATCGTCTTCTTTCCCCTCCCACCCCACCACCCCGATGTGTCGATAGGAGGGTACGAATGATATTGTTTGGAAAGGAATAATGATTCTACAAGTTCCTACCGTCAAATAAAAAACGCGAATGGTTTTCCGCGCAACCATCTCCCCCCGCCCTTGAAGGATTTCCTTCAAAAAAAAATAACTAAACAACTAGAGCTAAGATCGACTAACAAACAACTAACTAACGCTAAGATTACCTAAATTAAACTACAATTTCAATCTAGAAAGCTAATTTAAATTATGGAAGAGGCAAGGGGCACAAACGGATAACAGGACGTAGGTAAGACCCAACCGTGGTCTTAACGCGAGCTATCCTAATTACTCCGTCGGAACCGGGAAAGACCTCCTCGACGATTCCTAACGGCCAGTGGAGAGGCGGCGTATTCTCCTTAGTGAGCACAACTACGGTTCCTACAGCTAAAGGCTCTGTCGCTGTGTTCCATTTTTGCCGAGACTGCAAAGTATGCAAGTATTCCATCCTCCATCGTTTCCAAAACGATTGCACTAACCGATCTAATAATTTGTGGCGTGTGGAAATGCTAAGTCTGTTCTCATCCATATCCGCGGCGGGCAGATACCTTAGAGGCGTTAAAGTCAAAAAATGTGCTGGAGTTAGAGCCAGCGGTTCCGAGGGGTCACTAGATAACGTCCGACAAAGTGGGCGGCTATTCATTACGCATTCAATTTGAGCGAGCACCGTACTTAGCTCTTCGAAGGACAAAATTTGATCTCCTATTACTCGGTATAAGTGGCTCTTTAGACTTTTAATATTAGTCTCCCAATTGCCCCCAAAATGACTCGCGGCTGGGACGTTCAGAGACCACTCAATGCGGTTCTCGGCTAGAATGTGAGCGAACTCCGAATTATAATACTTGCTAGCTAAGAGCTCGTGTAGTTCCGATAGAATACGTTTTGCACCGACGTAGTTCGTACCGTTATCCGAATATAATTTACTTACAGGGCCTCTGCGCGATAGAAATCTTTTAAATGCACCCATAAAGCCTGCTGTGCTTAGATCACCAACGAGTTCTATATGCACTGCTCGAGTAGTTAGACATACGAAAATGCAGACGTAAGCCTTTGTGGATCTTATACCACGCCCGCGAGTGAGCGTGACCTTAAACGGACCAGCAAAATCAGACCCGGTGTGCGTGAAGGGCTTTACCGATTGTATCACTCTACAAGATCTAAGTTCCGCCATTTCTGGAAATGACGGCTTGGGGCCGTGCCCGAAAGCAAGCTATACATCTGTGCACCCGATTGCGTATTAAACTACGTGCAGAAAGAATCCAATAATTCTGACGCAAGATCGACATCAATAAATCGGGGCCAGCGTGCGAGTTCAATTTATGATGATAATCGACTAATAAGTTCATGATATGGTCTTTACGCGGTAAAACTATAGGGTGCCGTTGGTCGAAACTCAATTGCGAGTTGGACAAGCGTCCACCTACCCTTACAATCCCATCCTGTAAAAATGGCTTAAGGCGTTGAAAGGCGCGACTACAAGCTCTATTCGATTGTAATCTTGTAATTTCTTCAGAGAAGTGCGCACGTTGAAGTTCACGTAATACTAGCGACTCGGCATAGTTGTAATCGGATGCTAAGACATACGGACGTCGCGGTAAAAGCTTCGCGAATCGACAAACGTAAATTACGCTACGCAATAATTTCGACCAAGAGGACAAGCGGTTCGCCAGAGCAATGATTGGAGAAACCTCGCTCGAAACGTTCGCCACTAGAGCGTGTCTCTTCTCTTCCGGCGGTTGTGACACTGACGAAGGTTCGAAATCGGTTATTGGCCATTGTGAGGGATCCAAGTAAACCCAAGAAGGTCCATGGAACCAAAGCGGGTGGTCCATTATTTGCATCGGGGTGAGTCCCCGGGATAGACAATCGGCAGGGTTTTCCTTACCGGACACGTGATAAAAGTTCCGCGTTTCTAACTCGTCTTGGATCTTGGCCACTCGGTTCGCGACAAACGTATCCCAACGGTGGGGTGAAGAATGAACCCAACATAAGGCGACGGTGGAGTCGGAAAAGGCAAATATTCTTTCTATGTGAACTCTATCCCTACATGCGCCGATAACTGTGGTAATAAGCTTGGTGAGTACTAATATTGCGCAAAGCTCTAAGCGCGCCAGAGAGACAACCTTACGGGGGGGAGACTCTCGACTTAGAACTAATGAGGCTAATCGAATTTCTACCATTATTCTGGACATGGAAATATACAACGCCCCCGTAAGCCTTCTCGCTGGCGTCTGCAAATCCAACAACCGTTATGCTGCTATTTCTATCGACATTTATATGACGCGGTATTTTAATTTCTCTTAGTAAAGGAAGTTCCTCTCTAAAGCGCTGCCACAATCGAACAATGCTGTCAGGCGGCGAGTCATCCCAATCGCATTCAAATAACCAAAGTTGTTTAATCAAAAGCTTAGCGTATAATACCACCGGAGCTACGAAACCCATGACGTCCCATAATCTAGCAACGCATGACAGTATTGTGCGCTTTGTGCATTTCTCTACGGGCGGATTTACCTTAAGGCTAAACACGTCGGACTCTGGTGACCAACACAGACCGAGCACCTTGTGTGTATCGGAATCGTCGAATTCCTTTATCGCCGAAAGACGGTGTGATAGTGGGATTGTATCTAAAACCGGACGCGAATTACTAGTCCACTTCACAAGATCGAATTGACCCGATTTCATGAGCCTTATAACCTCGGCGGTGGTTAGGGTGGCCTCCTCCACGCTATCGACCGAATACACAAAATCATCCATATATAATCCGCTCTCAATTGCCCTCTTAGCTTTAGGATAAGAGGGACCTTCATCGTGAGCGAGCTGTCTCACCGTGCGTAACGCATGAAATGGGCTCGACTTTAAACCAAAACAAACGCGGTTAAATTCTAACACCATTAGAGGTTCCTTTGGGTGGAAACGATATAAAATGCGCTGGAATCTACGGTCGCATTCACGGACCCCTATGCAAAGAAACATTTGGCGAATATCGGCGGATAGTGCTATACTAAACAAACGAAAATTGACTATTATATCAAATAAACTGCCCTGTAAATTTTGCCCACTATAGAGGATATCGTTAAGCGACAGGTGAGTGCTAGTTTTAGCACTAGCGTCGAGCACTACACGTAATTTAGATGTAAGTTTGTCCTCTCTAATGACTCCGTGGTGTGGTATAAAATACGACGGTGTGTCTTCGTAGTTATCTAATTTCGAAGCCACAAGTGATATGTAACCTTCTCTTATATATTCGTTAATGACGCCGTCGTAAGCTTCCTTTAACTGGGGCGAAGCGAGCATCCTACGCTCCAAGCTGTAGAAACGTTTTTCCGCCATTTGACGCGAATCGCCGAGAGATAAAACATCTCCCTTAAAGGGTAGCGCTACACTATATCTACCGTCGCGATCACGAACGGTCGTGCGGACGTAAATTTCCTCGCATATCCTGTCATCTGAACTAGCTATGGGTGGGACGTTCACCTCCTCCATCTCCCAAAATTTGCGGACTAACGACTCGAGCGGTTCGACAGCCATAC